TTCCGAACGAGTGAAAGAGATATGTGATGCCGGGTCATTGTACAAAATTCTGTCTGTTCGGCGATCGTGTTATAATGGGTATGTTCCGATATACACTGCGAGCACTGCGCAGTGGTCTTACTGCTGAAAAATCCGTTCCGTTATGGACTGCCAGTACACTGCTACAGTACCCTAGGGAAATTCATGACGTCATAAATTGCCGCCATATTTGTACTGTGAGCACTGGAGATTTCGAGGTAAGGTGCTCGCAGTGCTTTTGATCACGTGATCAGTCGAAACAGAATCAGATAATGATAAGTTTCTAAATAAACAAAAAAAAAATACTTACGTTTATTATAAGATGGATAAATAATTTTTTTATACAATTTTCCAATTTTATAATATTTTCTTTTGAAAAGAGGGAATCTTTGTATTTATAATCACCTTGCATTAAAAAATTTGAAAATGGCGCCAAAAAATAGGATTAGCAGTATACTGGACTGCGTTCCGTTTTAAAAAGTCACCAGTATAACTAGCTATAAAGGAACGAGCTTCCAGTATACTAAATTGACGTCATACTGTTCAGTGGTCGCAGTGTATATCGGAACATACCCAATATGTTCCCTATAATTATAAATTCATATTAAGAATGAGAAATCAACAATCTAAAAATTTCAAGTTTTTCAAATATACTTAATATCTACTTGATATGGGTTTGATAAATTTTCGTAACTCCTTTAATTATATACACACAAAACAGTGTACATTCTATAATGACACTGTTTAACAATTATTTTAATATCTATAGATGTTTAAACGGTATTTGCAATAACACTACCAAAAAAAGTTTTTAACAAAATTTATACAGGAAATAATAGTTTTCACTAAATCTGGCTTACTTTGATTATATCGAAGCTTATTATCTACGTGCAGGACGAATCAGACTAAAAAAAATTGTTTATGGGGAGTGCATCAGAATTAAAGGATTAGCATGCAGTTTTATTTATAGTAGATACTTTAGTTATAGTTTTGAATGGTTATTGAATATTTCATTAATCAAAAATATGTTGTGTGTTATGTTTGTGTTTAAGTTATGATTGAATGAACGGTAAAGGTTTTTTAAAAATTACATAGTATTGAATTATTATATTTTGTTTACAGAGACTGTAAATAAAATATAAATAATCCAATATCTACAGTGACTGTAACATAGCTTATAAAATAGATAATACGAATTAATATCGGGTTTTACAAAGGTTTGTCAACCCCAACTTTCAAAAACTATAATTTAAAGTTCCAGAACACTGTAATACGACAGTTTATTTTATTTTTTATATAGAAATAAATGTACAATTCTTTGATAAGATTCATGAAAAAGTAACCGTTTTTTTCTTTTCAATAAAAGAAACTCGAACCCGCCTAGAAGTGTTAAAAATCTAATAATTTATTTATATACAAACATGATTATTAACATGCTACTTTTAATTTTTATACGACTTCAAGTAGTTACATAATAAAATGTGGTTCTTGTGCGTTTAATTTGCTTCTTGATTAGGTTTTTTAAGCGCGCGATTTTGTATGATACACTAAGTATGTCATATGTAAATCTACTTTTTACCTAATCTATATTATTCTATATTCAAATTTGAATTGGCTTATTAATAAACCGAATATATGTAAACTAAAATAAAAGATTAAAAACTCAGTATATATAACTCAATCAGTATGTATAACTTAGTATTAGATAGTAGGTACTACTGTCTAAAGTGTAGTGTGGGCAAAAGCTTTATTGCCCATTTAATTCAACCTAATACCCAATATAATTACGGTTATTAATTATAATATCTTGCCATTTTTAACCTTATTTACGATATCAAATTATGTAGGCATTCCGTCTAGAAAAATGTTTGTTTTAACGTCAACGTAAAATAATTAATTAAACGGTATCATTTCGTTAATTAACGAGGGAAAAATGTTATAATAGAATGGTAATTATGTAAATGATTTTACTTCATATGGTGTATTAAAACAGATCTATTTAATTGGATAGAAGTTTTACACACACCTAATATCTTCACGTTTAAACAGCTTAATATATATACAATAAATAAGTAGATATATTCTTAATAAGAATTGATCAAATACAATAAGTAGATATTTTTATTTTTTTCCTTAATTAATTCATATTTACAACTATAATAAAATTTATCTAATGGAAGACCTTTGTGATATTTTTTGTTGCGATAATTCTTGGTTGTTACCTACATTAACACTCACATATTCTCACGCATTCACTCAATAATACTATAAACAGGATATAATTAATTATATTTTTTATAACTGTACTGAAAAATGTAAAATCTGGTCTGGGAAGGTTAGATTGTAATAAATAGGTAATTAATTATAATATTTTTCTTTAATGTTAACATATCTGAAAGAATTGTGGTTGACACAAAGTATGTAGCCTTTATGTGAATGATGCAATATAAACATCTCGATCACGTGGGGATTTTAGATATTTACTGGATTTTTATCTTATTTATTTGTATTAGGACAATAAATTTTATTTCATGTCATATCGTTCATTTTTACTCTTCTCTAATGATGGATGATAAGTGAGTTAGAATGTTCTAACACATATATAAGCATAATATTCGCACGAACACGCAATCCTATCACTCACACTTACTTTAATTAATATTAATTATAATATTTTATTATTAATTATATAACATTTTCTTTCTTTTTATAGTTTATCGTTATAAATTATATGTAAAATAGTTATATACAAAAGTGCTCAGCATGCGATTCTGTAAAAATCGGAACCCGAATTCGAATTCACTCATGTGTCTGAATCCACGTCATTTAGTGAAGAAATTCTGTTGATTCCATTTTTTGTATAAATTGAATGATTATAAGTGTCTCAGATATTCTATTCTTAGGTCATTTCAGAACTCACTTCACTTATGCCACTTTTTGAAGTGAATTCGCACACCTGTGGATTCGAATTCGGGTTTGCATTTTTACAGAAACGCATGGCAGATGTAAGAATACGATTACATTATTATTTACAATGAAAAAGTATTTATGAAAAAAGTACGTGTTACTGAAACCAAAATAGAAACAAACAAACTTTTACAGCTGGTATATTAGTAAGTTTTAATATAATAATGGTTATTAAATTGGCCAATAACCGTTATCTGTTTCTTGTGCTATTTCAAAATAATCATACCTTTTTACTTGTGAAAGCTTCAAGACAGATATAGATAGAAGTGAGGGACTTAAAATAATTATATGCATTTGATTGATCGGTTCACACAAACAGAGAGTTGTGGCTCTGATATCGGAATTTTGGAGTCCTTTTATTTTATGTCAAAATAAGGTAGCAATTAATTGACTGTAGACAGACAGAAGCAAACATGTAGCAAGTTTTGGCTATAACTACGAGGAGAGCCGTTCTGAGGCTCTCGTGGAATCCTGAAAAAGTACCTACCCCTAGGTATGCCATTCTTATTGCAGGTGAAATCTAAAATTCTGTTTTTAATAAAAATAGATCGATTCGTTTTTTTTTTCAATAATTATGTAGCTCTTTTATTTCAGATTTTGAAAGTACATGTGTGACAAAAAACCGATCTGTCTCTTGGAAACATTTTTAACGATACACCCTCATCTCCACGTACTGTGAATTATGATACCATTTTAAGTCCGATGCGGCAAATGTTTAAATCATTCTATCTATGTAAAATGAAACTCGTTTAATTTGTGTGTAGTACTGGACAGTCATACATAGACTTTACTGAAACAGGGATATGTGCTTAAAGTTCAGATTTAAGCGCTCCAATCTGAGGCTACAACAAAGCTGGTGATACATACAATGTATGCATAGAATAGTAAGTAAGTAATATAAAAAAAGTATAACCTGTGCACACGTGAAGCATTTTTTAAATTCCAAAAATTTGTATTTTTTTCTTTACTACAGAATAAACAAAATTGTATTGAACGGAAACTTACAGAGCAATAAAAATATATTGATTTGAATCTCGATAATATTAATCAAATATTAGTTTAAGTAGAACAGATATCTAATCTAATCCATATTAATCTTAATATAATTACATAATGTTATTATATAGTATTAATTATATTACTTATTATATGAAATATTTTCAACTACGAAACGTCTTTTCATTACATCACCAAATGATCCATCTAAGTCATCACTGTAATGATTAAAATTGAAAAATTTAGGGAGTCAAATAAACTATTATTAATAATTGACTGACAGGTTGATTTCAAATTGTATATAGATAACATAAACAAATAACAAAAAGAAAACACAATTAAATGAAAGTAAAAATTTAATAAATGAAAGGAAAATAATCACTTATATTAAAAGTTAAACTAGTTTTTCTTATAATTATCTTATTCGGTAAAAAACAATCCTGATTAGTATTTTTAATATTGATTGATTTTTATATTATTTTTATTTGATTCTGCTGAACCTAATCCATTTTATCAATACGGTTTGCCAATAAAAAGTTTTATCAAGATTGCTGATGAAATAAGACAATTAAAAGTAAGCTATAGTTAATTCATACGTATATCGTTAACTATTCTCTTCATATAACTATTTATATTACATCTTATATTGTCGTACGCACAGTATTTCATTGTTATCATTACATATACTAAGTCTAGAAGTTTATTTTGTAATTCTAAATAGTACACTTATATTGAAGCCATGTATTTAACCTAAGATAATATTTTTAACATATAATATTATACCTTATAGGTATATGCTATGTAATTTGTGTAACGAAAATTTAAAAAGTATATCACGTTTAAAATTGCAAATATAAATACAAAAATGGTTTAATTATGGTATAAAAATAAACTATTAACTTAACGATTTGACTGCAATTTATTTAAACTATTTGAATGAAATTCAAATAATCGTAAGATTAGTTTAGTCTCATATTATTTAACCTTCCTTTCGATTTTAAAGGGAAAACAAAATAAGTCTGTTTTTATTTTCTAGGTAATTTATGTCGTGTGTATTTAGGGTTATAATAGAATGTTATATACCAATTAAAACATAATATTTCGGACTGACAGAAATTTGCTAAAATAATGAGTTTTAAAGGTAAAACTATTCGTATAACGAATCTAATGCAAAAAAAAAACAAAATAAACAATTACAAAAATATTCATATACCCTTGCTCGCGTTTGTAAATGTTGTCGAGTTTTTGAAGTGTTTGCTTCTTGTTACAAGTATTGGCGTTAATCAAAAGTGAGCCTTATGACAATGGGGCACGGTCGCAGTTGCACGCGGCCCCGCCTTGCCCCTGTCGGCACTGTACGTTGCACCATGCGACCCATCCCTCGGCTGTGTTCAATGTACGTAGAGAACTCTGTGACAACACTGCGCGGGGGTCACAGGCTGGACAACCTGCATGGATAAATAAGATTAAGGAAAAGTATGAATTAACCCGGTACCTGAGGGCGTATTCTACATATTTACCCTCGAACAAAAAATCGGAAAATTTCGAACCGTGCTTATAATTTGGTTAAAATAATACCCGTGAAGATTATTTGTGCATTAGAGCCAATGTCAGGTCCTACCTCCGATTGAGGCCTTCAGGTGTCATGTTATCCCGTAAAAGTAATATTTATTTGTTTAGTATTTACTACCTTTATTTTTAGTTTAACCCATATTACAATTTACAATAATAAATTTCTAACCTATCAAGTGACCTACATGACCAAAATAACTTCATTGTTTATCATTTTATATTATTATTTACTATTGTAGCACCAATTTTCGAAATAGTAATAAACATACTAAAACAATTGCAGTTTAAATGCATTGCTTACTCTTATTTCGATAGAAGGCGCTGTGGCCGTCAGAATCGCGACAACTCTTGTCTTTGTATTACGATTAGTTGCACAAACGTCCATCAAGGTCAAGGTTTAACTTTAAGCTCTAAGGAATGTTCTAAATTTGAACACTTGTATTTAGTTGAGAATGTGCTATGAAAGCTTAAGTTTAACCCACTTGCGTAATGGCTGTGTACGCTAGATTCCTGTATTGCATCATAAGGACCATTAATGCTCAGTCGCGAATAAGCAGATGGTTATTATCTTTTTGATTAGACGTGTATCTGTATTACAGATCGTGAAAACGAATTTTTGAGTTTTAAATAAAATCACCCACTACAATATTTAATTTTATCCCTTAATAAAAGCCGTTTTTCCCAATATTTTTGATGTTTCTTTTTCTTTAAGTATAGTTTTTAATATTCTTTTCATAAAATATGATCTAAGTTTGGCGAATTGAAAGAAATAGAAGGTGAGCGGGCGATTAATTGTGCCTGCGAGTGTAGTTCCCTATCTTCCCTTTTGTCCTCCCATGTCAGTTTTTTGTGGTTATCATGACTAGCTCACCCCTCAGCACGTAGTTGTCGGCGCCACAGAACGCCTGGCAGATGTTTGTCCAGTCTATTTCATCCGTGTCTTCTGCAGGTATATCATCACAGTTGCATAGAGGTTGACCTACAAAACATTCACTTCATATAAACTATTTTACTAACAGTCAAACTTTGTATAATAAGGAAGATGACTGGGGAAAAAAGGAAATTCTATTTAATCCGTTAGCCAGATAATAGAAAAATCTTAGGTACGTATTTGTTTCGCCTTAATTTAATCAAAAAAATGGCTTAGATAATAGGCATTAAAGTTGAGTAGTGAAGGCTTGCTACGACATAGCTTTTGTAGAAAATATACAAAAGCGTGACATTTCAACTCGCCGAATCGCTGTAGTTTATTTATTATGCAAAAAATATAAGCCTGATCTAACGAACAAACAAATAAAAATTATTCTATTTGACTTCGGTACCGATTTAAGGACAATACGCTTTCAGCGGCAGCGAATAGTAACATCTTTGCTCTCCTGCCATCTTGTTATTCGAGTTATTAAATTTAATGAGTTGAATGTGAGGTAAAGAGTCTTTACTTTTTATTAATCGACTTTAAAATCGAATAGGAGGTTATAAGTATGTTCGACGGTAATGTATGTTTTTTACGTATGTTCGCCGATATTGTCGTCAATTGTTGACCTATTTACAAAATTCTATTTTAATTCGACAGCTTGACGGAACAATTATAAAACAATAAAAAAAATCCTTTTATAACAAAACAAAATACGAATTCCAACAGATATCACCTAAATATTTAGATGATATCTTATCACATTGCCTATTTCAGCTAAAAAATACAAAAAAATTGCGTATTTAGAATTCATGCCGAATCTGAAAGGAAGATTTTCTATGTTCAACGAGTATAATAATAATAATTTATTTTTTCTTAACAACCCTTTGATGTATGCTTTTATGAAAGTCATACATAGTAGGCATCACTAGAGGTAGTTATGTTCAACGATTTTTTCTCGAATTTGTGAACCAATTACTATTAAACTAACTGTTTCCCGCGAATTGGTCTGCGTAATTTAAAGCCTGTGTTTGCCGCGTATTATGTAGTCTCCCGTAGTAAAAGACTAATAAATCGGTCTTATTCAAAGCAAACAAACAAGCAATCAAATCTTTCCTCTTTAAAATATGAATTTAGATTATTGGAAAAAAATGTGTCGAGCAAATAAACAAAATATCCTTTTCTAAGACTTTAAATATGTTAAATATTTTTATATAAATATATAGATTTTTAGTGTTACATATTATATAAAAATATCAATATCACTAAAAAAAGCATGAAATAAAAACTTTTTATAAAAAGTAGAACCGACTTGAAACTTTAAAAGTGATAAATAATACTTATCACAAAAGCGACTTATTCAATAAAATGCTATTCTTGAAAATTAGCTTTTAAGATAATTATTATTGATCACTTTGTTAAAGTTTTAAGTCGGTTCTACTTTATATAAAAAAAAATTTATATTATATTTACTTAAACTGTCTTTGAGTACAAATATAATCGAATTGAGAAAATCCTCTTATTTTAAAATACTTTTAAAAAGTATTCTATTGTTGCTAACAGATCAATTCAATAAGACGTTATAATTCTAACTGTTCAATACGTTTTTATTCCAAAATTCGATTCTTTCGCCGCCTTCGGCCCGGTGGATAAGGTTTCACTTATAGTTGCAACAGACTGATGGAGTCTTATCGGAAGGTGAAGGAATACGACGTGAAGATGTAGGCTAGAAAATTTCAATAATATTTTCAATGTACCCAGCATATTTTTGCAGAGCGAGGGGCACACCTCGATTCTTGGCTGGCCGTAGCTGCCGCTGCTGGTGGTCGCGTTGCTTAACGCTGTCTGCAGCCCGACAGGCATCAGCTCGTTGCATGTCTTTCCGCATACCTTGCCTCCAAGACCTGTGACATATATACGTAATGGAGAACGACCATAGTTATCGATCATTATTAAGAAATAATGTATAATGGATCAAAAGAGTCAATGAGCATCATTCTAATACCCTAAAGAGTCAAAATAACAGTGTTCATGACGAAAACTATTGAAATAACTATGTAGGTAAATTGCTTGGGCTTTATAAATCTTTATTCATACCACCTTTGAAAATTTTTACTCATATATTCAGGGTTTAATTTTTTGTTAAAACGAGTACAGTCTGTGTCACTCGCAGATAATATTAGTGAAATAATTCTTAATCTTAAAAGCAGTCTAGTAATTCTTGAGTTTATTTATTAAATGTAATTAGTTTAGATAGAAATGCCCTTTAAACGTATGATGTATGTACCTACATATCTCCATCGAGATGAATTCACTAAATACTACGATCTTCACTAATTAACGGAATAATTAATTCACGTGTAAATTTTGTTTCATTCTATAATGTATTTATAATTTAACTGAATAACATGATATCTATAATTTCTGAGCTAACATAACATGATATCTCTAATAGCCCCAGGTATCTCGAGGTGGAACTCGAACCCCTTTCGCAACCTGGGACACTGCTCTAACCATTGGTTTCGTGTAGTTCGGGTTTGAGTTCCACCACGGTGTACCTGGGGCTGGTGAAATTTTTAAGTATTTTTCTTTATTTATACATATATAAAAGCAGATATCCTGAATTACTGACCGAAAGGCAAAGCACAGCACCTAAATCGCTGGTCGTAGAGATTTGAAATTTGGTGGGTATATCCGTCCTAGTATCTAGAGATGTACTAAAAATGGATTTTTGAAAATCCGTCCCCGCATGTTAAAAACGTTTGTATGATACTTCTTTGTATTTGGACCTATATTGATGAAAACTGGTATTTGGGTAGTTTAAGATGTTATGAAGGTCAAAAGTTTATATTTTATTCCGAAAACTAGCACTTAAGGGATGAAATAGGAGTAAAATTTTTTATCGGGTATCAAAATGTTACCATAGCAATCATTGTAATATAATATTATTTATAAAGATTTCCTAATATTGTGATAAGATACATATTTGAGTACATAATTGATAACAAAAATAACATTTTAAATTAATGTTTTTGAAAATATTCCATTTCAAATCATTTTATATGCGAAAGAAAGAACAAACTATAGTTTTTGTGCTATACTATAAAAACTCCATTAATTATAACATTAGAAAAAAGAGGGTCATAAAAGCAGCAGTGCAGAACATTGTATTTCAAAGATGAATTTAAAAAATATATATTATAGTTTTATTGAAACTTTGAACGTTAGGTAGTCTGAAAGAGCTGGGAAATTTTCCATTTTTTACGATACCTCGGGCTTGAGATGAGGCCAGCATTTTCTTAATTCATCTTTCACTTTCAAGCCAACATGGAACTAAAACTATTTATCTGCTTTTTTGATAAATTCTAATTGTAAGTGCATATAATTAGAATAGAATTTTGTTATATCTATGCCCAGGAAAGAAAGGTAAACAAAATGAATTTGTTATTATAACATTAGTTAGACTATTTATGAAGACATTAGAAAACTTCCTGAAATGTCGAAGGTTGAAGCTAGGTATGGGGGATTAAAGCTTAATTGTTGTAGGCTACTCGGGCCTGCACCGGCATCGACGATATTTAACAAAATTTAACAACAAAAACAAAACTATTACAAAATAAAAATAAAACAATAATAACTTAATCACGGAAAACGGCAAAACAACAAGAAAGGCAGTAGTATTCACAACGGATGACAATCCCAGATTACGTATTTTAACAATTATGAATACATTATAGTCTGACAAAATTAAAAAACTGTACTGCCGAAACGTTTGAAGGGATGAGGCAACGTTTTAAATTTGGTAGAGTTATAGTGACATGAGAATCGTGCCGAAACTATCCAACCCTGCTTGCTTCTTTAGGTTCTTTAAGATGCACACTTTTTATTGTAATAGTTATTAAATCATTTAAGTTGGTCAAATACTCATAAATTTGTTTAATAGATACCTTAAATGAGAACAGTTAAGTATAGCAGTTGGTATTTAAGTGGATATGTAGCAAATTTACCGTCAGTCTTAAGAGTAACATGATTATTGATATTATATCACAAAGTATACCATAAAAAGAACCTTATTTAACTTCTGTCTAATGCTATAATGAATGGAGTATAGATGGTGTTATGTATACTTCGACATCGCACTGTTTTGGTCAAGGTTGAGTTTCAAATAAAATTTAGTAGGAACTTTAAATTTTACTATACTGAGAAGCTCGTTGACATAGTGGATAAGCACTGCGGCCCCCGATCGTTAAGCAACTTTCGCAAGGGTTGGTCACGGGATGGATGATCAAAAAAAATATTATCTCTAGCTACTCCATGATCCGAATCCGAATTGATGACGTAAAAAGGCTGATGATGGTGATACTACTAGATGGCGTTTATTCTTAATTAAATTGCGTTATAAATTTTTTCCTAAATTTTTGCGTAAATAAGATTTGTGTTTTTCATTCCATCTGTGTTTTGAATCGGATAAATAGCTTTAAAGTTTTAAGAGATAAAATACCGTAACATATTGGTCATTAGTCGGTTAATTAGATATTAGATAGATAGATGCTATACCTTAAATAAATAAATACATATATTAAACCTATTATATCGAGTAAATAAGAGCGCTGTTAGCTCAGTATGCATTACATTAAAAAAATGCTTGAAAAACTTCAATATTAAAACTAGTTTGGATGCTACTTACATCCGACCATTTGCTTTTAATGTCCAGTTGGTAAATATCTGTTCTAGTATTATGTTGTATATAAATCACAGTAACCAAGTAAATCTACATTACAAATAATAAAATAAAATAATTATATCGCGTTCGGGATTCCCTTTTAAAAAACCGTTATCATCATCACTGAACGTTCAGTTACTTAGGTAGTAATTTTAATCAACTTAGATGGTCAGGATTCACATGTCTTTATATCAAAAGTTTAGATCATTTCAATTATCGTTTTAGATTTTAAACAAAGCGAAAAGTATTTGAAAGCTATTTGGAAATGTTGAATGTAATAGTTGAATGCTAGGTAACTGCAATCTTTGTTTTGTGCTCTATGATCCAAAAAGAATAAAACCGAGTGAAATTCCAAAGAGAAGTCAGTTTTTTTCTTAAAATCTATATAACGTCATAGTATGCAAAGTATCCAATAATGAATGAGTAATAAATGATACTGTTTTAGGTGAATTTATTGAACGACAAACTTTTTGTAATCCACCTTTACCGTCAATTGCTTTTCATAAAACAATATAGAGAAATTTGGATGATACAAATAGTTTTTATTAATTTTGCATTCACATTGCCATACTAATTCGTATTAAGAATGATACAAATAGTGTCAGAACCTCGTAGCACAGTACGCTCGTAGCACTTGCGAATCATAAAACATATAGAAAATAATAATATGAACATATTCATTGATTCATTGATTGACAGAAGAGTTACTGCATCACATTAAGTAAACTTTTATGAATGTTATAAATATTATTACCAAAGAATATTTTTAAGACAGTATTTAGGTAATATATATACATTTTAAGGTTGTATAATACTCTGTACTTTTGAAAAATTGGACGTAGTTACTCAAAAATGAGTTAAGTATTTAATTATTTAATATTAAATAATTACATTATAATAAGATAATGTAAATAGTTTTCTATGCTATTAGATAAAAATGTAATACACACAAATGTTACATCAACATGCAAATACAGCTTAAACTTCAATGTTCTATATCTCAAATGTGACATCAGATCTACATTACTGTATTTTTGAGGACTACACCTGTTATGCAATACCATACTGTCTTTATTTTTTTGGTAAATAAAGTTATTATTATCATATTAAAAAAAATATTATTATTGAATAAAATAATAAATCGTTTTATAACTATCGCTGTAATAAATACAGTAGACGGTTAAACAGTTAGCCTCGTGATATTACTGATATCATAAAATTTGGAATATTAATAATGGGAAAAATGCCTCACCTTATATAACTTAAATCTTTTATTGTGCGTTTCATTGAAATACATGAAACAAAGGGTTTTTTTTAAATAGGTAATATTTTTCAGCAAATAGTGGCTGCATTACCGGTCCGTATCCTTGAAAAATAATAAAATTATAGTCCGGTCATCGCAGGCCATACCAAAAATCTTTTGTTATATGTCCGGGATATAACTGGAATACTGCAAAATCTGGCTGGTATTTATTGCAATGTTGCTGTCAGTAAAAAATAATAAAACATTGTACATATATATGGATCGATTATTATAAACACGGGTGAACAAATATATAATATAAAATTTAGACAATATATGATTCATAAATGAATAACATTGTGTCTATTTTATTTATTCTTATTCATTATGTAGGTACACTTTAATAAAAAAAAATAGTGTTCTAGATTCTGTTTCCAATCCTAAAAGTTTCTAATTTACTTACGGAGGTTAGCTGTCCAGAAGCAACCCACCTTTAATGAGCGCCATTTTTGAATTCAAATATTGAACACTATAGATCGTAACACGGGTATAATAAAAAAAAAAAAAACAAAAAACAAGCGAAAGAAATAAAAATGTGCGGCGTAGAGCCGACGGACCTGCGTGGCAGAGGTCCGCACACAACTCACTCCTCGCGGACACTGACGGAATCCAATGGGTCCTCCCTTTCCTAAACTGTGCGAGGTATATTCTGTTCAGTCCCCCTCTGTCGTACTTCAGCTGTAAAACCACTTCTGGTGTCTCGACGTGTCTCTTTCTCGCGCCGTTTTCCTGCGACTGTTCTATTGGTGTGTCCTCCGATTCGCTCAGCGCTGATTCGTCGTTCAAAACCACCCCTAACGCCACGCCCAGTAGCATGGCGAGAATTTTCACCATCAGCATCTATGGACAAAGAGTATTTCATAAAACAAATGAAAACGCGTTTTAACTGCTTAGATTTTCTTTTATAATAAATATTTGCTATTTCGTCTTGTTTTGTAATTAATATTAAGTAATATCTACTATTACGACAAATGGAACAGGCAAGCAAGACTGAAATTAACTTCTTTTCATAGGACTATTTTTTAATTTAGTTTGTGTAATTGAATTGTAAATAAATCATGAGATATTTATATTTAAAAAAATTATATATTTTTTTACAAATAATCGGATATTTTGTTGTTGATTAGTCTATTCCTTTTAGGATAAATAACGATATGAATTCAATACTTTGATATAAATATTATAACCGCATGTAAATAAGGCCCCGTGATCTACGATTTCCCCCCTGACACTGACTGCGCCCGAGGCAAGTGCGTGGCATGTATAAAGTTAAGGAAAGGAAAAACGTAACATTATGCTTTGTAGCGCATAGTTGACTTTATCAACCCCACAAATAATCTCGCGTGAGGATATAGATAATTATATATTGTAAACATAATGTTATCAAATATGAGTTAATATAGTTATAAGAGCATAGCTATGAACCAGGTCGCACGAGGTATTACCAACCAAGTTTCACACAGATGTAGAACTTTGCCAACTCTGATATGAAAACTACTTGGGAACGTACTGTGTGTACTGGTGAATACACGAGTGTTTTGGTTGATTTTTTTTAGTTTTGAATGCCTTTGTTAGCAAGTTCTTATTTCAATTTAATGTCGACTGAATATTATCGTACATTATATTTACTAAAATTTGAAATTTTAATTTAAATTTCAGTATAGTTTTTAGTTTAAAAAACCATCAAATTGACAGAATAAAAATAAGCATGTAATGTCAAAGTCAGGACATATATTTATTTCAGAACGAGCGAAATAAACTTAACATCTCTAAAATAGTAATTTACAAATAATATGTCTATACCAAATCTCTATTACTGAATATGAATTATCAATTTTATTATACCTACCACGATCACAATATTAAAATTAAAGAATAGAACTTAACATGTACCTATCCCGCCAGGGATACGGCGTGAAGATATATATATGTATTTTTCATAGTAGATTTAATTTGACATAAACTAAATCAAATCTCATTTAATGATTATAATTGAAGTGAAAATTTTTGTAACTATTAACTAAGTTACGTTAATAAAAGTTATTACAAATTGTCATATTTTACAGACTCTGGTTTGAATGTATTTTGATTTTATTCCAATGATTCTGAAGAATTTATTGAACATTTAATAATATGTACATTGATATTTTAATGTTATTTTCAAAACAATCATACTTTTCATCCCAAATGGGCTTATTAGAACTTTAAGTTACACGCTTGCTCCGATCTTGAGTCAAATAATGTTCAAATATGTATTTTTTTCTTTAGGAAAAAATCCTCTCCGACTTGTCAATATAGATTAAATTCCTAATATGTACATAGCTCAATTGTGCATACTACGAGTAAATATTAAAAAATATCGGTACTCAAATATTTGTAAAAATATTGTATTTAAATTTATAATACGAGTTATGTCACCGATTGTACCTAGCAGCCGTTTTTAAAGTTTAAATGAGCTTTTGTAAGTTTGCGAACGTTCTTTGGATGTAAGAATCGATTTTCTGATACTACTTTGTAAGCTGACGGCTTATAATAATTTAGACTCTGAGTGAAATAGGATTGGGTGAAACATCTTTTGTTCATGACGATCATTGTTCTTCAGGGTATTGGAGACGAAATTTATAATATAAAAAACAGACCGTAACTAGCTGACTTACTAAGCAATCTGCTAAAATTTATATACAATCATTAGATGCTATAATTTGTCACAACTCGGTTACGAATTTTTAAGCATTAAGAAGCTCGATGGCGAAGTGGTTAGTGCGCTCCATCTGCGATACGCTTGTCAAGCAACTTCCGCAAAGATCTTTCATATAGAAGGTGACCAAAATGTATTATTGGGAGCTCCTCTGTGTTTGGAAAGGCACGTTAAGCCATTGGTAGTGGCTAATCTACTGTCATTAACGCCCACCTACCTATTCGATTTTGATTCAGTTCCATCCACGGGGAAGGCCTGAGCTCCAGGAATAGGGACATTAGTAGGCTGGTGATGATGATGGTGACGCTAATGATGAAGCATTAAGGGTATTAACATTAGATATTGGTATTTTTGTTCTTTATTTTTATATGTGAGTACATAAATATGTCGAATTCCCGCAACTGATATTTAACTCCATCTATAATTAATTAAGGTTCAAAATCTATCTATATACAAAAGAGTTTATATAATAAATAATAATAATAAATAAAGTTTGTAAATATATATATACAAAAGAGTTTGACAGTTTTGTATAGTCTGACTTGTTGTTGTTGTTCAATTAATTTAATCAAAAAACAAAACAAAATTGAAAAATTATTTTATTTTAATCTGTAAGTTTTTTTTATGTAGATTATAAATCTATAAACTTAAAAATCCGACTCTATCTTGTCTATTTTCGCCTCCCTGTCGCCACCTTTCGCTCTGCCTCCCTAAGAACGAGACGCACCGAGTGAGATAGCTAATGTATTGATCCGCGCCGAGGGCATGTACGGTTATGTACTAGTTATGTACTAAGTTTTATATTATAATTAGAAATATTCGTTTCATACAGATATACCCCAACCTACAGGGACTGATCGAAAAGTTCAAGTCAAAGGTACAAATAAAGATTTAAATAAATACTATTCATATAATATGTTTTTAACCCCACTACATGATGATACTACATATTTCAATTTTATATCGATATCACCATGCATTCCCGGAATTAACGATCTTGACAGAAAGACAGACAATAAAAGTGCCAAAAAAACCCTAAGAAATATTGCGATAAAAATTAAAAAGGAGAATGTTCTATTTTTTTTCGTTATCAATTGATTTTATGTTTTAATATATATTTTTTTGAAGTGTTCAAATAGAGAATGACTAGCTTTTGCCCGCAACTTCGTCCGCGTGGTAAAGTTACTTTGAGCAGCATTTCTAACGAATATTTATTCATTATATCGTATAAAATACCTAAAAAAAGTCTTATCCTCTTAGCTTAGGGGTGTAATTTATCAAAATCTTTCTAAGGGGATGCTTACGGCATAGTAGCCTTATTTATACAAAATCTCAGCCCGATCGTTTAAAATTGACAAAGTTTCATACAAAATTTCATCCCCTATTTTATCCCCTTGGGGATATAATTGATCAAAATCCTTTCTTGGCGGGTGCCTATGTCATAACATCTACCTGTATTCCAAATTTCAGCCCGATCCGTCCAATGGTTTGAGCTGTGCGTTGATAGATCACTATGTCACTCAGTCACCTTTGAGTTATATATATTTAGATTATTTTCCCGTGGGAATGCGGCATTTTCCCGCGGTAAAAAGTAGCCTATGTCCTTTCTTAGGTATTAAAATATCTCCATACCAAATTTCATGCAAATTGGTTCAGTGGTTTAGGCGTGATTAAGTAACTGACTAAGACAGAGTTACTTTCGCATTTATAATAAGTAAGTATGGATAATTTGGAAATAAGTCGACGAATTGATTAAAGTTTTTCTGTTATTTCTTGAAACGTTTAGTCACAAATTTGTCTTGACATAAAGGTTTTTTTTTTATTGGGAATTAAGCTATCAGTTTATGTAATTCTTTATTACAGCGTAATGAAACCGAACCAATTTTTAAGTAACCTGAATGACGTGAATACTGAAAATGAGTGAATTCGAATTCGGGTTTGGATTTTTACAAAATGGCAGGGCTGCTGATGAAAAGTGGATCACATACGACAAGAACTTGTGAAAAAGGTCTTGGTCAAAGGTCGTGACCGACCTTCTTCACAGACTGTGGTAAAACCAGGTAATGCTGTGTTATGGTGGGATTGAAAAGGCATTATTCATTATGAGCTGTTACCGCCAGGCAGGACCATTGATTCTAAATTCTACTGCGACCAGCTAATGAGATTAAAGAAAGAAGTTGAGAGAAAGTGGCCAGAATTAATCAATAGAAGGAGTGTGTTTTTTATCATGATAACGCTAGACCTCACACATCTTTTTCCACTCAGCAAAAATTAAGAGAGTTTGGCTGGGAAGTGTTAATGCATCCGCCGTATAGTTCTGACCTTCAGATTTCAACCTGTTTCGGTCTGTTCAGAATTCTTTAGGCAGTGTCAAGTTAACTTCTCGCGAGGACTGCCAAAGCCACTTGTCGCCGTTTTTTGATCAGAAGCCTCAAAATTTCTATAGCAATGGGCTCATGCCCCTACCTATAAGATAGGAAAAAGTTATCGAACAAAATGTTATATCCATATTTTACTTAAATGTAAATTGACTTTTTTAGAAAATGTTTTGAATTTTCATATAAAATGCGAAGAATATTTTCCCTACCTATTATGTCCGAGGGCCGACGACGACCGTTTTTTGAAATAAGAAAAGTACAAAATCTCAACTGATTAGTCTCAATAATTTAAGTTTTTTATTTGTTACAAGGCAAAAAGTCCTAGTTTTTATCAAATTACTATCAACTGATTATTTTAAAAACTAAAATAAAAAACGAATTCCTTTTACAGTAACTTTTAAGTATATTTGAGACGTGCATAACTTTAAATATTCAATTCAGAAACAGGGTGTAATTATCTAATTTTAAAATCTATTGCAATCCCTTTCAATTTTTCATTTGAAAGTTATTCACCAACTTCACGTTACAAGTATTTGACATATTAAATCAATTGTGATCATGATTCTTTTTTTCAAAGATATTGAATTAACGATATCATAAATTTGATGTTAATTGGAATTCTCTAACAGCCTTCCATTGAAATCGTCCTTTAAACGTCCATTAAAATTTTCATTAGTTTAAAGCGATATTTCCCATACAAATTGGACATCCATTAGAGCTTAAAGGAGTAATTAAACCTTGATGTACGTTTGTGCAATTGATTGTAAGATAAGCGTTAGACGCAATTATCTTTGAGAAGTTGTTGAGAAATATTAAAGGAAAAAGTTGAATGTTAACTGCAAACTTTCTTCGGGTTTCACTAAGTTTATATTACCTTGAACTTTCAAATGAAAATGAAAAATTATTTATTTGATTAAGGTTATTACAAGCACTTTTGAATCGTCTAAAATTCTTTCAAATTAAATCATGTTTGGTTCGAATGAAGGTATAACTTTGAAAAATATTGCGATAGATTTTGAAATTAGAGAATAAGCTCTCTGGTCTTTATTTTGGTCTTTATTATCTTGAAAACATTAATACTGTTAATCAATTTTTCTATAGCGTATTGTAACTTGGTTGAGGTAACATCACACTAAAAGCCCATAAACAAACGATAAAAAAATATATAATGGTGTTAAGATAATGGAGGTATGACGTAAACAGTATAAAGTTTAGTCATGTTTTTGACATTTATATAACGCGAATAACATATAATTATATGGAAAATAAAATAATGTTAAATACTCACTGCTTTAGTATGTATATCTGGTACGATCTCGATAGAGACTGGAATCAATATACATACATAACACTTAATGCACTAGCCACTGACTAAATCACTTAAATGTAGACTTACCAAACACAGAGCTTACTATAATAACCAGTCAATATAGTCATGGACAATTTTATAAAACTACCCTCGTTATCAAACTGCGGTTGTTATGTTTTTATTACTAACAATTAAGGAGCTGCATTAGGTGCAGTGGTCTGCCATTGTTGAAGTTTAGAGGGCACATACACCAAAAATCAGTCACTTCGAACTGGTTTAATGTATTGAAATAATGCTCAAATAAGCTGTCATTAAAATAAGAAAACTACATTATATTTGTAAGCATCCTAATACGACCAAAATAAGCATTATTAAAATTTTTTCGATAGATTGGATTTTCCATCAACAACTCTTAAAGTTCAGAATTTTTCCCTTTTGATAATCGTATTTGTTTGCGAGTGATTATTTAAAAACAGTTTTTATACGAGGATTACAGACACAAAATAAAATAACCCTAGACCGAAAAATACTATTTTACCTCCGTTATGGAGGACATTTTGAGTAAGTGAAATGAAAAGATTAATATTTTTAAACGTTACAAATAAAACTTGGCAAATAATATGTATAAATTTACTATATAAATAAATTATATTTTAATGTTAGCCATCTCTACTTCCGACATTACTCTGTTAAAGGCTTTTAGATAAGAGGCGTTATTGCAAAGCTCTCGAATGGCATTTAAGCGGATCCGATATGTCTATCGCTGTTATTTTGTGTGTTGATATTGAAGATAAAATTCTGATTGACAATATTATCAGTATTGTCCATAATACGGGGGTGAGGTGAAAAATTATATCTGATATCTGTCGGGATATCGGGAAAAAGGGTGTGAAATATCTTGCATAATGAATTAGGAATGCGAAAACTCTTAGCAAGGTGGGTGCCGCATTTGCTAAGTGCTGATCAAAAGCCAGTGGTCAGCGCCAATGAAAGTGAAGTCGATCGCATCTGCCGAAAAGTTCATTGATTAATTACCTTAAAAGACGAAGAAGATGTACAGGAATATTACAGGAGGAGTATTACAACAGTTTTGATAATAATCCCCAAAGAATTGCGTGGCTTGACGAAGCAAAGAATCATTTTTCACCAGAATAACGTATCTGTTCAGTAAGGTGCTTTGGCGATGAGGAAACTCCGCGATTTGAGGTATGATTTGTTCGACCGTCCTCTGTATTCTCCGGATTTGGCACCCTCAGACATCTATCTATTCTCATCTTAAAGAAATTCATTTATGGAAAGCGCTTCGCATATAATTAAGTAGTTGAGAGGCCAGTAGATGCATATTTTCACAACCTGCCAGACTCTCACTTCTGGGAAAGGAAAGGAAAGGATAGGATATAGCGTATTACGCATTAAAAACTATTTTTGATTAAATACTCGTGCAATGAGTTTTTTGGGTAGTTTCGCACGAATATGAAATTTTTTAAATTTACAGGTAAAGATCTCTTTTCAGTATTTTATTTAATTTTGGGTTCAGTAGTTTCGAGATGCGTAGCGCTATTCTGTTAAAAACAGCTTCGAACTCGAGGTCAAGTGCAGCTCTGTAACAGCAACACAGCAACTAGTTAAATAAAATCGACGTGGAGTTCGTGTTCGACGTGCTGTGTTTATACAAAATAGCATTATAGCAAGAATGTTAGGTTTTCGCCTATTTTCTTTAATAACACTGGTGACCACAGGTTCTGTTGCATGGGGTTTTATACATGATTGTTAAAGTACTTTTTAGTCTAATTTCAAATGTAGAAGCCGTTTTTTTCCTAGCAGCTCTACTTTCCGAAATATTTAATAATATTTTTTTTTGTAAAAAAAATAAAATAATTAAATATACTTTATTATAATGAATTATATTGAGTTGAATTTTCTTTTATTTTCACCACCATGACCTAAATTTTCAGGAAAACAGCCCAGGTGGCTATGGAGCAAGGGCATCTTGATCTTCATCTTTACACCCAGATATTGAAAGTGTAGCATCAGTTGGTCTTTATTCCAAACGAACTCGTCCCATGAAGATTTTTGATATGCTTTCATGCTGCTAGTGGATCCATCATGATCTCTCTGGATCACGAATTAGTTTACTAATCTGTGGGCCAACGAAAACCACAGCCTTCACCTTTTCAGTAATCATTTTTTGAATATGTATTTGAAACACTCTCCACATTTGTTTAAGACTTTTACATATTAATTCATAAACTTTGATATGCAGAGGAGGTAATATTATACGGTGTCTGGGTACTAGTAGGGTATTGATGATGTTAAGCTTCTCTAGATTCAGAGAATCCCTTAAAGGCCAATCTATTTTTGTCCAGTGTTCTGATTTTGCTTTACTGTCCCATAAGCACATGAAACTGGGATATTTCGTGTAGCCACCCTGCTGTCCCAAAAGAAAATTCATCATTTTTAGGTCTACACATAATACCCAGTTATGTTCGTTGTACGTAATTTTATTCAGAACTAGGGATAGATGCGTATGGTACTCTTCTTTTGCTGTGGTTGACTGTGCAATAGGCAAATAGCCTAATTTATTACCGTTATGTACACACATTTCAGACTTCGTTTTGACGAGACAAGGAACAAACGCCACTCGTTTGGGTCGTAGCTTTGTTGTTCCATTACAATCACATATCCTAAAATATAGTTGCAAAATACGAAATTATCCTCTTCAGTAAAGAATGGAAGTAAATTATTTTCCCTTGAGCGGTACCATGTGATATGCGTATCTTTCGTTACCAAATTCCTTTCCTTTAATAGTGTAGCCAGCAGTTGTGTTGCCATTTTTGACAGGCTCACCAAGCTTGATAAAATCAGAATCCTTGCTATCATCTTGATCACTGCTGCTTGATGTATTGTGCTGAATGATACCGGGATGTACTGGGTTCAGGTTCTGATGAATGTCTAGCACTAAGTACTAGTCGAACAGCAGATAAATAAATTTGGAGTGATTTTTGCAGTTTATTCCTCTTATGTTGACCACACAGAAATAACAATCGCTGTGATATATGTTCACGCCATATCACAGGAGTTCGGTTCTTGAAATGAGGTCTTTTTATTTGCAACATAACTTTTACATACGAAGCTTGAAATCCAGGGTTTCGTTATTAGTTTCATATGGGAAACCGAATAAGTCCATATAAGATCGTACCACTAGGTCTGACGTATTCAAACGAAATTCCTTGACAATATACGTTCCACAAATTAAACAAAATCTATTTGGATTGTTTACACAAATTCTCCTTGATGAACTCATAATAAATAACGCAATTAATTAAAGCAGTTACAACACCGATGCTAATATATGTCAACTGAGAAGTGTTTTGTATGATGCCCGTATTTCAAAAACTCGAGCTGCTAGAAGAAATTTGAGGGTAGATTTGAAATCAGCCACTCCAGATCAGTGGGAAACAAAATAAAAAACTCAACGCAACAGACAATAAGTGCTATTTTGGCCACCAGTGTAATGATTACTACTATTATTGCACTCATTGATAATTGAGAAAAATAAATCTAAAGGAGGAGAAATATTGTATAATAATAACAGGATGAGCAAATAATATAAAGAGCACAAGTTATATGCTTCTTCACTTCTGTGACGAAGACCATTTGTCTTAGAGTGCGAATCTTTCTTATAGCATCCGGAAGTGAGTTCCAGTGTTGAAAAGCCTGCACGGACAAGGAATAGGATAGGAAGGAATCTTTTCTCTTTATAATTTTAGTACAGATTTATAATCTATTTAAACAGTAGTAGTAGTGTGTGCGGTATGTGTGGAGACATATAATCTTATATCCAGGGCCTGATCAACACTTAGTCTACTAAGACTGCAGCCTAGGGTACGATGAAAGGGGGATGCACTGTTAATTTACCTTTAGGCACAAAGAAGAATAGGCAAAAATTTAAAATGAACAATTCCAAAAGTTTGTTTTTTTTTTGTGGAAATCGACTGAAATAGACAAGAATTAAATTTATCAGAAACAAATCAAAGGCATTGCAACGATTATACGCCAGAGATTTAGAAGAGAGCTTTGCGCAGAATGCGTGTCCATTTGGCGCAATTTTTAGATTTCGACTGCGGGACCTTGTTCGCCTTAATGTTACGTATATATTCTCTAGTGTGGAAATAATATTGATGACCAACAACAACGGCGAAAGGTCTTTTTCAGTCCTAAAAAGAGTCAAAAATTGCTTGCGCTCAACACGGTAGGGCTCTTGATCAGGCGCTACTCATTTCGATTGTAGCTGATTATCTTTTAAAGTAATTTCGTGACAATTTCAGCAGACTTGTTATTATAAAACCAATGAAGCATATGATATCACTATCTCTGTCTTACTTATGATATAACAAACTGTATTATACTTGTAGTATACGGACGAAATATGATTTCCAACGGGCGTGTCCCTGTCACCGCCTTCAACCCTCCTACCTTCAAGGGTGGTAAAGAGGGGGAAATAGGGGCGGAGGGGGTAAATACCACCCCACCGGGTGCAGAATTTCGTACAAACAGATATCGTACATTGTTCAATAAGATGGGCTGTGTCAGACACAGAATTATTTGTGGGCAAATAACACATTCGCACACACAATTACTACTGTTTATAAAAATTATACTAATATTATAAAGAGGAAAAATTTGATTGATGTTAATATGTAATTTTAGATATTTTTTTTATTTGGCAGAAGCTTCCATTTATTTTGTTATGAAACCAAAAGTACTAATCTGATTTCAAAACATTTTTAAAGTTAGGCTTTTGAATTAAAAAGTATTTTAAAAATCAGTTAACAGAAATCGGTAACCATTCATAAACAACATAGAATGTTTCCATTTTAAAACCGGTTATTAAAAATAAAACAGAAAATTATAGTTATAGGAAAAAATGAACAACCTTCAAGTTTCTTTCTTTTTAAATTGAAGACCTTTTTAAAGTCCTCCTTTTTAGACATATGAAAAAGAACTTCAACATAATTACTTATTACTTATTTAGAAGCTCACATACATTGGCATACTCAATAAAGTTGGTATTAATGTAGAACTTTCTTTATTTCGTACTCGAAAATGGAATAGCTGATAAAATATTAATATTAATATCAATGACAAAATCAAAGCATCTATCTCGTAGTGATTAGGGATTGGTGTCTGACGGAAGATTCGTCGCGTAAGTGTCGGTCGCGGAACATCACTGATAAATATAATTATATGATTATTATATTTGATAAATTTTGCATTCACAATGGTGTTCATCATCATCAGCCCTTTTTACGTCCCCACTGCAGGGGCTCAGGCCTTCCTTATGGATGGTTAAGGAGGATGGGCCATGACCCTCCACGCTGGCCCAATGCGGATTGGAGGGTATTAACGACTGCAAATGCAGCCGGGACCAACGGCTTAACGTGCCTTCCGAAGCACGGAGTAGCTCGAGATAATAATTTTTTGGTCACTCATCCCGTGACCGACCCCTGCGAAAGTTGCTTAACGACAATGATCGCGGGCCACGGCGCTTAACCACTACGCCACCGAGCACAATGGTGTACTGGAAAATATTCTTAATGAATGTTGTATTTCAGGAATAGTTTGAAAACTCTTCAATTCATTAATCATCACATTTTCGAAATTTGTTTTTATATTTAACTATATAAAGTATAGAATGTGCCATCTTGGAGGTAGTCACATAATACCATTGCTGCAGAAATTTATGAATTTCTCTTAAAAAAATGCAACAAATAGTTTCGGCAGAACTATCTTGATGTTAACAGGTTCATTGTAAAGAGACTGAACAGATGGAAATCTGTTGTTGCAATTTTGTGTATAGTGGATGCAATAGGTAATAACTCCGCTCAACGCTTATAAATTTTGCTCAGTGGCTAAAGATGTGAAGATGTGCTTTAGCGTCATCATTACTCTATTTCTAGTAATCGAAAAAAAATATCTATCGCAAACTTTGATTTGTCGAAAACCACTTCCACAAAAACAAAACCATCTGTAGCATCGATCCATCGCTCTTTTATATTTGGATCTTTCGGGAATCTTCAATGGCCAAATAAAATTTTGAATTAGCATATCTTAATCCAGAATAATTACTTTGTTCATTACAAGAATTCAAAATTTTATTGATAAAACGATGAATAATGATTTATGCGTTATTTATTACTCTTAAATATGTAATTTCAAAAAATATTGCGCTATCCAGTTTGTTTTGTATAGGTTGCTGACTAATTGTGAAGTTAAATGTTAAACACGGTCTTCATTGTGCGCAATGGAAATTTACAATTATTCGTAACTGTTTTTTATATTGTTTTACTTTTCCCTTTCACTGCACTAAATAATGACTTAAAACATTGGAATATACTTACAAGTACCCATTTTAGCACGACAGTTTGTATTTTTTATTTAAGCACCGTGGAATTGCACAATAAGTCATGTTGCAAGGAGCTCGCTTTATGATAACTTTATACCAATATGCAATGACAGAAACTCCAACAAACTAGGATCTGTAGTTCCTAGTTCCACTTGGCCTTTCTGTAGTTCCGAGAGTTTCTCGACTATAGACGGATTTTCCATCAGATTTGCCTCGTGTCTATGTCGAGAGAATTAATTACTTGAGAATATGTCATAATTTAAGCAGATATTTTTACTATTATTATTAATAACCAAATAAACAAAAAATTCAATGAAGTAAGAACTATTGGTTGAAAGCATTTGCGTAAATTATTGTCATAATTCGCTCAAGTAATACTGATAACTTTTCTCGACTATAAATGTGCGTTTTAGTATAAAATTGTCTCAAATAATCTAGAAATATAAAATCTTTGATGATTTGTATAATCAATTATGCTTATTTCAATGATTTTAAGTATCTAATCTAATAAAAACTACAATGACAGCTGTTTACAAAAGTAACTTTTATGTACGGTAATGTAAACAAAAAACGTTCAGTTTATTTTTACATGAAACAGTTTGAAACAATGATTGCAAAGGTACCTACGCTCAAAGGCACAGACTTTTCTCATTATGAAAGTTGTCTATTTTTAGATGGGTTCTAATTAAAAAGTGCTCTCTGATATATTCTGAATACTTATTGTAACCCATACACTTGTTCCGTAGTTGGTTAAATAATTTATTTAAACTTAACTAATGGGAAAATGACATATTGTTTAAAAAATGTTTGGAGATACTCAGGAATATTTCTCTCGTTTTATCAAGTAAAGAATTTTCTGTTTTTAATATATATTACTTATAATAAACAGTTTATTAAATACTTTTTGAGTTCAAATCCTTTTCTTTCTTTTTTCTGATAATGTAGTGTCGATAAGATTCATCATAACTAAAATATCAAAATATCAATCAATTTAAATTTAAATTAAACATAATCCAAATATTACATTTATTAATTTCTGTTTTTATCAAACAATCTTACCTTTTTTTATGTTACCCTGAAGTATTGGTAAATTAGGCGTTCCTGGTAACACCGTCTGACCTATCTCGGACCGAACTGGGTCAATCTGAAGTGCATTGCAGCTTCAATCGATATTCAAACATAATGAACTAGCATAACACTCAGATTAAAAGATTTTCAATTATCTAAAATTAACTTAAAATTTGATTGTTTATTTGCGTTGTATAGTCTCCAAAACTACTCCACCGATTTTTAATATTCTTTCACCTATGGAAACAATGTTACTTTTGCAAATCTGCCGGTAATCTGATAGATGACCGAATATTATGCCGAGTTTCTTTATATTAGAGGCTGTTTGTAATTTACTAACATGTCAGAACTTTGATCAAAATGGTTTAAAATTATTATATATATTGTGCAATTTAGATAGGTACTTACTGCGTACGTACATTCAACAAAGCGTATATTTGTAGGACGAAAATATATTTTTTTAAACCTTAATGGGTTGCTAATAGAGTTCAAATCGATTATGAAAGTCTACATTGTAGGGTATCCCGATGAGCTGATGATATTTTAATTAACTTACTTCTGAAAAGTGCTTTAAAGTTATACAAGTATTCAATTAATTACGTATTACTAGATAACTCAGTACATATAGTCAGTAGTTCTAAAGTTTCTGATTACGCCTTTTCAGATAAGTTGGCAAAACTGTGTGCATAGAATATAGATCGTCTCGAGCGGGTCACTCCCTCCCACGCGGCCTAAATTCAACCCCCACATTCGCCCTACGACCTTTGAAACGCGCGTGCGCGGATCAGTATCCCTGAAAACTCGACCCGCCATTTCAGTCTACCTCCAACCACGTTGGACTGGCCACAGCTTGTATTGGCTGAAAAATATTATATTTTCCTTCAAAAATTACAATCCGACCTTCATATATGAAAAACTTATTTAAAAATTCAAAATTACGCGAACGTACTCTGTACATTTATAATTTTGTTAACGATCCTTTGCGTCATATATTAATCTGTTTCTCCACTAAAAATATATCTTACAAGTAGTGTTGCCAGTTAAATTAATTTTTATATTTAAAATTATCCCGTTTGTTGTTATATTAAAATTGTATATTAATTGTTGAACTGCCGATCTAAGGTTAGTATATTTATTTGTGTATGTATTGTTATTTGTTAAACGTAGTTTTTAGACGCTCATTCCAATCATATATTCTTATTTAACGGATTCACCTTTGACCTTATAGTATGGATTTTTTGGCGAATGTGCAGTCGTCTGCGCACACTATAAAATTCTGTCACAAAAAACTAGACTTAATACTCATGTTTATAATCGATTACTGTCCAAATTTTGAATATGGAACGTTCTCCTTTTAGACAAAGGGATTTAGTGAACAAAAAAATAATTTATCCGTTTTTCTCTTTTCCAGAATAGAATAGAAGTAAACGAGTTATGTCAAAAATAACACTGGACGGCTTTTTTTCGTACTGCAAGCAAATTGCCGAACATATCCAGTTGGTTCGTTCTCAATTCAATTATTAAGTAGCCGCCATTTTCCATTAGCTGCGCGGCGGCCATATTGATTTTCCGCTTCGCCGCCATTTTAGATGTGTTCCTTTGTTCTTTTGGAATATGGCTTCTCATTAATGATTTTGTTTGAGTAGGTTCATTATAAGTTATATAAAAACGACTCGTTTTGGTTTTTATTTCAATTTTTATTGTAATATGAGTAATTTCCATAACGTATAGCTATTAACCAACTGCGGGTCGTAACATTTTTTTTTTATAAACTTGAGTTCTCAATGCATGTTTGTAGATGTCATCACATTAATATAAGTTTTAATGATTAATACTTGTGTTTGATATATTAGGTTTTATTTGATAATTAATGTGAAAGATTATTTTTGAGGAGTGAAATATCCACCTCCTTGAGGATAAATGATATAATGGGAGAGACCTGGGTTCAATCTGAACGTTTCGAGAAATAAAAAGTTCTATTCTATATCTGTGTGGTCATGGTATAAATAATCCAATGTAGTTATTAATCTAAGAACTTAACTATATATGTGGGTCTGGCATACACAGCCTATCGATAACTTCTAAACATGGGCGTAAGAAGGCCCGTGTTCACTCCAGAATTTTTAACTCATCTTCAATAGGATGGTCACAGTTTCTAAGAAACCACTACCACTTGAGGTCGATACATCCATGAATCTATATCAGATATTCCCAAACTATTTTGGTCAACAGAATGTTTTCGAAAATGAACTACTACCTCAGATCCTATAGCCTAGTTAGTCTTAAACTCCTATAAAATACTTATGTACTAACTTAAAAACTTAGCGGTGTTTTATTATCTAGACAAAAAAAATAGACAACACCACATTAGCACTCGTATTATAGGAAACCGAAACAACGTAGATACCTCAATGAAACCAGCGATGGTACAGAAAAGTTCATTTTCTATATTGACCCAACCGGACATCAAACCCGGGACCGCAGAGATTGCGACACTATGTAACCGGCATTTAGACTTACAAAAATAGATATAAATAATCTTGAAAGTTTAGTTTTATTTCATTGAAGCTCAATGCCGTGGCAGTGCTTAGTTCTATGCTGTTTTTAAAGTAATATTTATAAAAACTTAGCTGATTGACAAGCTAGCAAACTGTCTTACCATCGTCTTAAGATATTTATTTATATTATTATGTGTACAGGGAGAGAGAATGGCGGCTCTATCTGGTCAGGGCACACCCAAGCTGACATCTGCAGTCGGCAACCTGTACTATGACTGTGAGTAATAATGTTTTTCTATGATTTTGTTACAGGAAAATTATTTAGATTTATATAAAAATATTATCTCATATTGATCTTTTAATATGTTAAAATAAGACTCGAAGAGTAAAATTGAATTAGTCTGGCGTACCTCTTTATATATTGGTTATAGTAACAATATTAGTAATGGAAAGTTTTATTACAGTCGGCAAACTGTACCCAATGTAACGGCACCCAGAAACTGTTTTGAAACTTTCTTCGATGGCAAACTTTGTAAAATGGAAAATGATATGAGAAGTTATCTCCGTGAGCCTTCCGGAGGGCGCCACAGTCACCGGAAATTACGTACCACAGTCAACCGCGTGATAAGTCCCAATCCGGGTGATTTTTCGACTTGTCATTTGATACTTTTGACAATTTGTAGCCTCTGTTGAGTTTTAGTAGATTATCTTACCTTTGCATTACCCACCATAATTTGTTTTTATATTACTATATTATACCTGCAATCCCTAAGGAATCTATTAACTAATTTTAATCTTCCTCCTGTAGAACAGTCTATCTATAATGATATTATACAGAGGGATTTGATTTTTAGTTTCTTTGCATTTAATTGATTTCGAAACTACTGAACCGATTTTAATAATTTTTTCGCCTACGTCATACACGGGCTATATTCTACGTAGGCGAAGATTCACAGCTAGTATATATGTTTATGATTATACGCTTCAATATTCACGGGTATGGTGATGGCAACGAACGTTCTAATGACTACTCCACAGTTACCTCTATCCCGCTGAGCACATGAATGCATAATTGATTAATCCTGGCACGCAAATAGGCTTAAAGTAGTTTGATTAATTAATCTTCGTAACCACAACACCAACGATGTAACACTTCTGGTGTTAAGTGGATTTTTGACGTTTTAACTGATTGTCGATGTAAATTGAGTCACCGCGTCCATTGATGAAAGTAAAAAGTTACATTTAATTTATCATTCTACATTTGTGGCGCTGCAATAGAGTATGAAAGTCGGAGTCGAAACACTTGTATATATAGTCGATACAAGTAATAACTTGAAAAAATGTCATAATTAAAGCACACATTTTTTACCAATAGACTAGAATTTGAAAAAAGAATTAGTATTTTTGTAAAAAAAAAATTATGGGTGAAACTATAAAACATTGCTTTTTGATACAATTAACATAAAATTTACTTACACGAGTGATGTAGGTAGTTTTCTAATTTTTATTTAAATTTAACTTTATTAATTGTTTTTAATAATCAACCTCCTTAAGGTTGCTTTATAATAATTACAAAAAAATGTTTTACGGATATAATGGTTTAGCCATTTAACTTGGGATCTGAGCAATATAATAAAATTATAAATAAATATAAATATTAGATGTTGTCTATCTAATATATGTACCTATCGAGAAAACCCAAGCTCTTCCTATATTATTTTCTTTGTCCGACAACAGCCAAAAATTTTTTTCAATTATTTTTAAGCACTTTTCATTTCTTTTATTTCAACCCCTGAGGTCGTCCTGTGTAATAGGGTAGTTACTTCTCTTAAATCCCTAAAAATACAACTTTACGACCGGGCTTTGCTTGCGTGATGGAGTGTCTGTTTAACCGACTGCGTCTAACCTAAAAACACTTACTATGGAATTATTTACGGGGGTTTTAGGGGCCGTCGACAAAGATTAAATAAATGCAGAACCGACAATTATCATTTGCGTTATGTAAGTACCCAAACTTATGTATATTAATATTTTGGGTTTGGTTTGAACACATTATCATTAATCTCTTAGTTTTATATGGGTCATAAGTATTCAATAGGTACAATACTGTTAAAATATAAAATATTTTGTAACATAAAAATACCTAGAGATAGTCGAACACGCTTAGTAGGAACACTTAACTAATCATCTGAAAAAGTTGCTTAATTTGGATTTCTTTTTTTTACTCAATCATAGTTAATATGTTTTATTATTAAAAGTTAACCGTGAAAGCTAAAGTATGATATAATAGATTATTTTATTTTTTTGGTACCTTTTTGTAGTTTCTGATTCAAATAGCAGTCAAATAATTTTCAGTTTGTCCATTACAAATAAACCAAAAATCTATTTTTCTCCTTCTTATTATTATATTATAGTGTATTCAAGTTCTTGAGGTGCTATACTGTATTTAAGTAACATCATGGTAATTTATCATTATTTATTTAGGAAGAGATTTCCGTTGCTCGCAAGGCCGTTTGCATAAATTTCGTAATATATCCATAATTAAGATAAAAAATATCCTTACTCGAAATTGAAGTTTAGAACTACGACATATTCAAGTTTTATTAAGTATTTTTTGATAATCACATAATATGTCGTGTCTTTATAAAATAATCTTTGCCCTCTAAATATATGCGAAGGATTACGCGGCCATTGCGCTGCCACTCCGTAGACAATTGTTTTCTTTTTATTTACGAGCATAGAGTTCTGAGATTGCGGTTATTTGTCTATGGCATTACCGAGGGCTCTATAGCCCTAGTTTATGATTATGTATTTGTGCAAATGTATGGTATTAAAAGATTTATGTAATGTTTGAAGCTGTTTGTTAATAATATGATGGATGATCAAGAATGTTGTTGATTTTTTATAAAACATTAATTTTTATAGTAATCATTGATTAGATAATATGAGGACTAAGAAATAGATACGATGGGAACTTATATAATTTTAAACTCGATCGCGATCTAAAAAAAATAGTTCATGGCAATTTATGTAACGATGTAATTGTTAAAATCAAATCGCTTTCGTAACTGATGATGATTTGAATGATTAAGAAACATAACAAAATCTCAGTTAAACTCTTTGAACATTTGCAGTTAGCATACAACTCTTTCGTTTGACATTTGTCAATAGCTTTTTAGCATTTTTCGTTTTACTTTGTCAATTCCAAATTAACATCAACGACAACGATCATTCAAAACCTTTAAAAAAAACGATCGCGACACTATAACATCGTAGTTATAGCGTGTAATAGTTGTAGCGTGATGTTCGTGAAAATCTATCAAATAGAAAGGGATTGCGATGAAATTTAAAATTAGACCCCATGACCAAAGGCTTAACCTTGGCCCTTGGCCTGGCTGGCCCTTGAAAAAGTTGTTTAACTAAGCTAAGTAAAGGGTGTCACAATATTAAATTATTATTTATTTAAGACCTTGACATATTGTTTATTTGTAAATAGGTAAAAAGTTCCTTGGGCCTCGATTTAATTACTGTTCGGTCGAGTGTAAATCATTGTAAATTCAGCCGGGAGTCGAACGCACACCGCCCTCAGTCAGAGGGTGGTGAGATTAGCGCGGAGTGAGATTCCGTGTCGGTTTGCTAATTGATAAGTTCGGTAAAGAGGGTTCGAGTCCGTACTGTATGGGAAATTCTGCATGTTACAAGGCATTTTTTTATGAGAACCTCAGTCGTGATCGTTTGAAACATTCCTATTTAAAAGTAGGTGAATGTCGTTTTTTCGTTTTTTCTACTTTTTTAAATTAACAATAATTATAAAGGAAGTGGAAAAAAAATCTTACGATAAGACCTTTCATTTTGATATTTCATATGGGATGACATGTAAAACTATTTCACGTTTAATTTTTTTTTATTTACGTTATGTAATGCAATCCACATACCAAATCAGTCGGTCCAGTATTGTTTAAAGGTATTATTTTTTCGGAGTGACTCGAGTGTAACTTTTAAGAGTTTCGTTTTTATTTCGAGGTTTTACAGTTGTTTTAGGTACTATACATACCAACAAAACTTTAATGAATCGATATTTCACACATAATTTATTACGGTTTTTTTTGTGATAAACTTAAATCCACGATAAGAACCCTCGAGGCAAGATAAATCTTATGCAGTGATCACTAATAATAATGAATGAGGGAAGATTCAGCCAATTACTTACAGCTTTAGACGATTCTACTAACTAATAACATCGAAACTAATAAAAATAAATGCCGGTTGCAAAGCGTCGCCATCTCAGAGGTCCCGATAGGGTCGATTTAGTAAATTAAGTTTTTTTACACTGTCTCAGATCTAGGTGTTGTAATACCATCCTTGTTTTAGAGTTCCATATGACTTGTGCTTTATCTACTTAGCTTGATATCTGAACAATGTAATGAGGTCCTGTATAAGCTAAGCGTCAAGTATTGGCTTGGTGTATTTCAAGTTGGTTACGGAAAGAGGATCTATTGAGGACGAGTCAAAAATAAATTTAAATTAATTACTAACAAAATACAACAAAACTTATAAAAGTATTGTGGAGGCTTCAAAATTAGTCACATTTTTTATTTAAAAAAAGAGCATATTTTGTTTAAAAGTTATAGTTCTTTGAGGTAATACAGGAAGCGGGCAAATTCCGAAAATGTTGAAATACGACTAAATCAGGCATTGTTTTTTTTCAATTGTCAATAAAGCTGACAAAAAAACTTTTAGTAGATGAAAAAACTTCAAATTATATAAAAAAAATATATTGCTTGTTTGATGTCATTTTCAGAATCTTTGGTATATGTTCCCCTTTATGTACATAGATCAAGGATTTTTTGTTTCATTCGCTAGAATACATGAATCTCATAATGAAATTGAACTTGCTCCTTGAAGGTTTCAAATGTAAGTTGTATTGATGATGTATTGTTTCATGCAAAATTAAATCAAATTAACAATTTTATTGAAATCATTTTTTTTCTTTTGTTAGATCGCTTACCAACTAACAGAAAGCATTCAATATTTTTTATATATGTAATTTCTAAAAATGAATTTGTTTCGTATCAAATTACAAATTATTTAATTTATATTTTTACATGACAACATCAGTTTACATATCTTTCTGATACTTTTAGAAGGTTTTCTGCAACTTTTACAACAAGTAAATTTAGAAAAAAATCATATTTCGAAATATCTCAGGTTTACAAAATTTTCAATTATAAAACAATACATAGCCAGATTGTACATAGCTAAGGTGTAAATACTTAT